TCCAAAACAGAGTAAATAGACTGAAATCCCCTCCCAACCTCCCCACTCTCCGGTCCCTACCAGGCTGCTAGTTACCCAGCATTCTTTACTTCCACTAAGGAAAATAGAATTTTCTAGAACATTGAGAGCACTGTTGTTGTTGTTTGTGTAGTTTTACTCCTATGACATTTTTGTCCCCAGAACCCTCACTGTTCCTCAGTTCCATTCCATTTCATCCCCTTGCTGATAAAAAGATGTTTTCTGATTTCTGTCTCCACTGACTTAGGCCATTTGTTACTTCTTGCCTTATTTCTGCTTTCCTCACGTCTGTAGTCTTGAACCCCTATGTTTCCTTTGTCCCTTTTCTTCTTTCTGTTGACATCCTCTGCCAATTCTCCAGCTACAACCTTCACATCTACCTTACCCACCCCACTCTTCCTGTTACTTTTTTCAACACTTCTGTCTCTCTTTTTCATGATTCACTACACACACTTTCCTAAAAGCTTCCTTACTGAGACTATAGCAATATTTCTGTCAGATTCTAGATCAAAATTCTCTTTTCATTTTCATCACTCCTTCTCATTGTCATAAATATGTTACCATGTTGTCTTGTAAAGTTTATTAGCAGTGCTAGGTATACCTGTAATACTAGCACTCAAGCGGCTGAGACAGGAGAATCTTGAGTTCAAGGCCAACCTGATCTACATAGCAAGACCTTACTTTTAAAAACAAAAAACAGAACGAAAGAAAACAAAAAAGCAAAAAACCCCAAACAGAACACTGATGGCCCATGCCTGTAATCCTAGGTACTCTAGAGGCTGAGATCTGAGAAACATGGTTCAAAGCCAACCAAAACAGGAAAGTTGATAAGACTCTTACTGCCAAAAAGCCAGAAGTGGAGTTGTGGCTAAAACCCGTAGAAACTATCCATGAGGGGGGTAAGCTCAGGATTGGCACAAAAACATGAACAAACGATCAAAAAACAAAACAGCCATAGTTAAAGCCCCAGCACAAAAATAATTTTTTAATTACCTCTTTTATCTGGCTTTTTTCTTTCCTTTTCCTTTTCTTTCTTTCAGGTTTTTGTTGTTGTTGTTTTTGTTTTTGTCGTGGGGTGTGAGCTCTGGGCCTGGATGCTGTCTTTGAGTTCTTTAGGCTCAAGGCTAGCACTCTACCACTTGAGCCATAGCACCACTTCTGGTTTTCTGGTGGTTTATTGGAGATAAGAGTCTCAGACTTTCCTTTTCAGGCGAGCTTCAAACTACAATTCTCAGCTCTTAGCCTCCTGAGTAACTAGAATTACAGGTATGAGCCACTGGCTCCCAGCCTGACTTTTTTCTTTTTTTTGGGGGGGGGCATAGTTAATTGGAGACAAGAGTCTCAAGGACTTTTCCTGCCAGGGCTGGCTTTGAACCATGATCCTGAGATCTCAGCCTCCTTACAGGCGTGAGCCACTGGCACTGGGCAAATTATAACTTTCTAGAAATGGAAATAGATTATTTGTTCAAATGCAATGTTTTTTTCTAAGCTGGCCACTCCTGAATATATAATGACATTCGAAACATTCTAGAATAGTGACATTCTAGAAGAATATGTCATTGCTGGGCACCGATAGCTTATACCTGTAGTCCTAGCTACTCAGGAGGCTGAGATCTGAGGATCATGATTCAAAGCCAGCCTGGGCAGGAAAGTCTGTGAGACTCTTATCTCCAATTAACCATCAAAAAACCAGAAGTGGTGTTGTGGCTTAAGTGGTTGGGTGCTAGCCTGTATCTGAAGAGTGCAGGGACAGCATCCAAACCCAGAGTTCAGGCCCCATGACTGACAAATAAAATCCTGCTTTCTTTTCAGGATTAGATAGCAATTAATACTTCCTAACTGATGGCAAACAATTTTCCCTTGTTATAATGATTATTTCTTACTAGCAAAGGGATGTTTTCCACATGCACATCTACCTTTTGTATTACTTATTCTCTGTGTTGTTTATAACTTTCCAAAGGGCATGCATTTCTGAGGTATGTTTCCTTAATTGCCATATTAGTTATTAAAGATAATGGAAAATTAACAGAATCAGGATGACCAGGCTACCTAAAATTCAGCCAGTGCAAACAGGTCTGAAAGATTATGAGATAATAAATTCTAATTTAAAATTCACATCTCCTGACTAGATAGATACATCTACTCAATAATCACAAAAGAGACTTGTGAAATTAAGGCTCAGTCATCAAAAAGTTGTTCTCTTTCCCGGTGCTGGTGGCTCATGCCTGTAATCCTAGCTACTCAGGGAGCTGAAATCTGAGGATTGTGAGCCAGAAAACTCCATAAGACTCTCATCTCTAACTGGACTGAAACACACACACACACACACACACACACACACACACACACACACACACACACCACAAAAACCTGTTTTCTTTAAAAAAAAAAAAATTAGGATAAGGATTCCAGTAATTGGACTGAGATAGCAAACCCTTTTGTGATTGAGTAGACAAGCAAAAAAAAAAAAAAAGCCAAAAGCTCAGAAAAGATAAGCCACACTTGTTCAAGCTGGAATACAAACCAACGACCTAGGGATGATTATAGCTTCCTGCAGTTCTCTGCCTTGTCCACTAAACCACCGGAGGAACGGAGTGAAAGGGGCTGTGTAGACTCCCAGGAATCCCGTAAACGCTGGCGGAAGGCGAGCTCTAGGCTCGAGATCGGAGGTTTCTAGGAGACCCGACCCATCTATGAAATACGCGGAAGCTGCGATGTCTGGCAGAGGAATGGCAGGCTGAAGCTGGGAAAGCAATACGGAACGGCGGGGCCAAGGACAAAGCGGCCGCAGCCAGGGGCAGGGAGTGCGCGGGGCTCGTGAGACTCGTTCCTAAACCCGGAACGAGGGCCCCTCGGCCCGGCGGGTGGGGCAGCGCCCTCCGCTCGCTGGGGGAAGCAGGCTCCCCTATTGGAGGGATCGATCCCCGGGCTTCCCACCCTGAGCTTTTTCCCTTCCCAGTCTCCAGGATCTGATTTTCGTTTAAAGATCATAAAGTGCTTGCTTCCTCTTAAAAAAAAAAAATTAACTAAAACACTCCTTTTTTGAGAAAGGGATCGGAAGTCCCAGTAGGATATGAGCTCACAAACTTCAACTAGTAAGGCCAAGACTCTTAACACCTATGCTACAAGGCCACCACCTACATGGTTTTTCTGCGCTGGTATCCTCTAACCT